TTGGCCGGAGGCCGGCGGCGGCGGTGGCGGCCGGCGGTGGTGCCAGTGGCGGCGGCTGCTCGAGTCGAAGGGGCTTTGTTCGAATTTTCAGACGAACACCGTTTGGCTTCTCGAACGGGTCCCCACAGACAGCGCCAAAATGATAGGACAAAGATGTCACCCGGGCTCCCTCGGCTAGGACGGCCACCGTACATGCAAGAACCCAAAGTCGGGGACCCCGAGAGGGGTGCCCGACTTTGGGCCTCCGATGCTTAAGTCACTATTGGATTCATATGGGAACGCACAGAGAGAGAGTAGGGAGAGAGTGTAGAGAGAGAGAGAGTGTAGTAATGGAATGAGGAGAGAATGAAGGAAATAAGTACCTTCTCCCCCTTTTATAGGGAGAGTGTACCTTATAGTCCACGTTGGGCCCGGCCTAGGTTGGGCTGGGCCCATATTATCATATCAAGTGTCCTAGCCCATGTATAGGCGTATTCTTGAATATATATCCATAAAAACCGGTCGGGTACGACATGCTATATCAGATACTACCGGTCGAGCCGGCAGCACTAGTCGTGGTTATATCAAGTCACATGAATCGAAATTCACATAAATTGGGCCGAGTGTCAAAGTCAAAGCTCAGAAAGAAAATGTGACAACACGAATTAAAATAAAACCGGACATTATATATATATATATATAATACAAAATATAATATTATTTAATAATAATAATCATTTAGACAATTAATATAAATAAATACTAATATTAATAAATAATAGCAATTTGACAATTTAGGCATTAAAAATAATAATAACAATAATTATAATAATAATAGTCACAGTACCAAAATAATAATAATAATAATAAGTAGAGCAAATATTAATAAAGAAAAAGGAATAATAACTTCAAATAATCCACAATTGAACGGGGTATTACACGGGAGCAGGATGAATGTAGAAGTATTTGGATTTCCATTCGGTAACGTTCGAAGAAAGATTCTCGAGGAAAGAAATGCCTGGACGACGACCCAGACAATGGGCGTCCTTTATGAAACGGTAGCCATAACAATACAAAAGGAACTCGGGCAAAAAAAGACCAAACTTTATTTTAGAAATTATGATAAAGGCCACCATAATGCGAATGGCATTAGGGAAACTGGTTTATGGGTACAATATACATGTTGCTAATCGACAGAAGTTCGGGCTGAATAGGAAGCGCAAGCCGAACATTATTTGGTTGACGAAGAACGTATAACAGCCTTTTGGAGGATGGGTAAAAACATCGTTGGGGCCAGGGGCGACCAACTCCCAATCGGAAGGAAGACCGTTGAATGACCTAAACCCCTCGATTTGGGCTGTAGAGGCATAAGAAAATGGATTCAGAACAGCTAATTTGACTAAAGGACAGACTATGGTTACATCTCGAGACTAAAAAATAGGAGCCGTTATTGACAAGGAAGTATGATCGTACTATATACCGGAATATCTAGAAGCCTAAGGGGAATACCTTGAGGAAGGGGGTTTAGTCGAGGAGAGTCACTACCCAGACTGGGATCTTCCTTATTTTGCATCAAGACACCCGATAAGAGCGCTTGGTTATACTCGTCTTGGTTAATCCCGAAGGTCGAGGCAGATGAGCCCTGTGATCTCTCTTGCTCGACTGCAGGCCTAGAGCAAATTATTTTGACGGAATCAGAGCTTGAATATTCTTCTATTTGACGGACGAGAGAGCCGGGAATAGAGCCAGAGACAGAGTCGGATTCAGCATCTATTGAAAAAATTCGAGAAGTGATGATCAACACACAAGAAATATCACAGGGAAACGAAAATACATCGGCTTGTGGAAGAATTCAGGGACCACAAGTCGATCATGGAAGTTCCTAGTCGACTCACTCGGCCCTAGGGATGAGGAAGGGTTGAATTACAGAACGACTAAGAGGAATACTAAGTCGACATGAGTCGACATGTTAAGAAAAGTGAGGACGACTTTATCTCCTAAGGGTGAATCATCCACAAACACGATTCGATCAGCGACAGACGGATGCAAAAGATCTAACACTAACTTCCCAGAATTCTTTGAAGATTCACAAGAACAAAAAGAATTATCATAAACCCTCAGAATTGAAAACCCAAAAAACCAGCGAAAACTACGAAAAAGAATACAATAAGTAAACTTACACATGATGTCTTTGAGTAAGAATCCGAGAAATCCGGAGAGATTAACGGAGAGGAGCGAGCGCCGATAAAATTGCAGATGTTGTTCTTGCCGGAGAAGAAGATGCGGAGATTCAGAATGCCAAAAGTGATCAACCGAAAGAGGAGGAAATATTTATAGGGAAAGCAATGAAACCCTAGCTAAAGTATAGATCGACGACTGAGATGAGACACAGAATTCGAAGCAGCAAAAGGGAACTTGAGGCGACATGTCACATCTTAGTACGAAATTTGAAATTCAAAATGATCAAGGGGTAGTGGATATGTTCAGGAGAATTCTTAAGTACAAGATTAACCACAATCATCCCGGTCAAACAAGGAATCACCGACGTAACAAGCCAAAAATAACGACGAGAGGGATCATCGACATAAAATATAGTGAGTCGAGCAGTTAAATTCAAAAAAAGCCTCACTACCCAAATTTACTCTTAAGCTCAAAGTCTCTTAGAGTAATTTTTTTTT